TGTTAACACCGAGGCTGGCCGCCCAGGGCAGAGTACAGTGCTGCACGGAGCACAGTAGTGCTGCTGGCCTGAGCTGGGCCTCCCAGGGCTCCCAGGAGACCCCCGTGTAGCTGTCACCCTCTCCAGACCCACCTCCCAGGGCTGTCGTGTGGTTTCAGTGACGAGTTTTCAGTCCTGAAGCAAAACATTCAGAGCACCCGAGTGCTAATTTCTTGTTGGAGCGGGCAAGCCTCGTGGCTGTCGCCTCTGTGGGCCTGTGCTGTGAGAGCCCTCAGGCTGGGGATAGGGCGCTTAGCTCTCCTCCTCCCGACGTGGCACAGGGCCCCAGTGAGAACCATTTCAGTGCGGTTGAAGTGGTCTATCTCCTTGTGGTTTTGACTTGCACTTGCCGATATCTAATCGAGCTAAGTGTCTTTTTATATACTGGTTGGCTATTTGTAAATATTCTTTGAAAAAATAGGTAATCCAATTCTTTGCCCATTTTCTTTGTAATTATTTATCTTTCATTACCGAGTTGTAAGAGCTCTTTATATATTCTGAGTACAGTATACTTTATATGTTATGATGTTAGCAGACATTATTTGAAAATACTTTCTCCCATTCTGTGGGTTGTCTCTTCAAACTGTTTAAATACACAGAAGATGGACTGGCCATTGTGAGCGTCTGCAGGTGAGCGTTCAGTACAGTGTTGAGTGTGTCGGCACGTTGTGCAGGTGTCACCGCTGCCTCTGCAGCCCTGCTCTCCTCCTCTCTGCCTGTGGACACGCGCTCCCTGCCGCTCCTCAGGGAGCCTCTGGCCGCTGCAGCTCTGATGTCTGTCTCTGCAGATTTGATGCCTCGTAGAGTGGAATTGTCCAGTGTTTACCCTTTTGTGACTGGCAGAGTGTCTTCAAGACTCACCCACGCTGTAGTGTGTGACAGGATATCCTTTTTAAGTCTGATCTGTTTATTCCATTTTATGTAAATACTGCATTTTTAAAAGCCCTTTATTTGTTGATGGACGTTCGGAGGGGTGTGGGGGGGTTGCTGTGTGTGTGTGTGTGTGTGTGTGTGTGTGTGTGTGTGTGTTGGGGATCAAACCCGGGGCCTTGTGCATGCTAGGCAGGTGCTGTACCACTGATTGAACTCCCCCTCAGTCCCACTTTGTGGCTCTTGTGAATAGTGCTGCTATAAACGTTAGTGTATAAATATCTGTTCAAGTCCCTGTTTTTAATTTCTGGGGGGTTTATACCCAGAACTGGAGTTTCTGGAACATGTGCTAATTCTGTTTTTAAATTTTTGAGGAGCTGCCATTCTTACAGCAGCTGCCCCACTTTATATCACCACCAGCCGTGCACAAGGGCTCCAGCTTCTCCACGTTCTCATCAAACTGTCTGTTTGGGTTTTTGTCTGGGTTTTTTGTCTTGGGTTTTTTGGTTTTTGACTGTCTGGGTTTTTGTTTTGTTTTGTTTTGTTTTTGAGACAGGGTCTCACCATGTAGCTCAGCTGGCCTCGAACTCACAGTGATCCTCCTGCCTCAGCCTCCTGAGTGCTGGGATTCAAGCATGTACCACCATGCCTGGCTTGGATTCATTTTTATTATTGTTTATAATTGCCATTGTAATGGGTGTAAAATAGTAGTTTTGATTTGTATTTCTTTAGTATTGTTTGTAACACGATACGCTTAATTTTGATGAAGTTCAGTTTGTCCTTTGTTGCATGTGCCTTTGGTATTAAATCTAGAAAACCATTGCCTAATCCAAGACAGATGATTTGCTTCTATTTTTCTCCAAGGGTTTTAGTGTTTGAGCTGTTAGTGAGTTCTTGTTTATGCTATAGAAAAGGAGCCCAACCTGAGCCTGCTGCATGTGGCTCTCCCATCCCAGCACCATTTGCTGAGAAGACTACTGTTTTTCCTTTATTACAGTATCTTGGTACCCTTGTCAAAAATTAATGGCCATAAATGTTAAATTTTATTTTGGACTCTAATTCTAGTACATTGATGAAATGTTTCTCCTTATGCCCGTGCTACACTGACTTGATTACTGTAGCTCTGTAGCAGATTTTAAAATTGGGAAGATGAGGCTGAGAGTGTAGCTGCCCTTACTTTGCATGTCTAAGTCCCTGGCTTTGATCCTAGCACTGTAAAAAAGTAAAATGATAAGTAATAAAATGAGAAAGATTAGGTTCTTCAACTTTGCTCCTTTTTCTTCAAGATTTTTTTTTTGAGGGGCTATTCTGGATCTTTTGCATTTTCATATGAATTTTAGAATCTCTTGATGGATTTCTGCCCACAAGGCACATGACATTTATATGGGATTGTGGTGAATCTGTACATCAATTTAGGGAATTCTACCAGCATTACAATATGAAGTCTTGCAATCTATGAACATTGTATGTCTTTCCATTTATGGAGGTCTTCTATAAGTTCTTTCAACAGTGTTCTGTAGTTTTCAGAGTATATGTTTTTCACTTATTTTGTTAAGCTTATTCCTAAATATTGTATTCTTTTTTTTTTTTCCTAAATATTGTATTCTTCTGGTGCTGTTGTGAAGAAATTTTCTTAATTTCACTTTCACAGTGTTTGTTGCTAGTAAAAAATCAATGATTTTTGCATGTTGCTCTTATACCCTGCAACCTTTCTAACCTTGTTTATTGGTTCTAATAATTTGTATTGCATTATTTAAAGTTTTTATGTGCAGGATCATGTCATCTATGAATAGATGCAGTCTTAGTTCATTCTCCCAGTCTGCTTGTCTTGTATTCCTTTATCTTTTCGAATTGTCCAATGAAGTCTGTGTGTGTGTGTGTGTGTGTGTGTGTGTTGGAGATAATTTTAATTATTAGTATTATTTAGTTAGTATTAGTATTGTTTAATTAGTATTTAATTAGAAATTTTAATTATTAACTCAGTCCTTTTACTGGTTGCATTGTATCTTACTTGTGGAGCATGACAGGCACCTAAAGACCCACACCTCTGTAAAGGAGGCATCTGAGAAGTGTGGGCCAGCAGGAGTCAGGAAATCGGAGCTTCTTACGGCGTTCCTGGAGCTGCGCCCTCTCCTCACCCTTTCACTCTGCTGCGTTACCAATGAGGTCAGGACAACAACCTGAACCTGTCTCAGATGGGAAGGATGATTGTACAAACATCACCTGACAGAGAGGGGATTAGTGTTCAGACCTAAAACAAGTGAGAGCAGGAGCTTGAAGACTTCTCACGAAGCTTTCAGGCCGGTGTGTGTGTGTGTGTCTGTGTGTCTCTGTGTGTGTCCGTAAATGTTGATAAAGAGAAATCTCAGCTGTTCAGATTCCCAAATCATAAGTGCTAAACTATAATACACTAAGGCACAGCCAGTTAAGGACTAGATTTAAGGAGCTCTGGTACATGATACGAAGTGAGCTCTAAGACATATAATTAAGTGAAATATGCAAAATAATGTACTTTCATTTGTTTATTGTGTTAGAAGAAGAAAGTGGAAGGGAACCTGTGGACGCTCGTGGACTTGTAAATGTATGTGCCTTGATACCCAACATGAGAGTCAGGGGTAGTAGGACACTTAGTTCCACGTGGTTTTCCCCTTATGGTTATTCTGCCTGTAATGGATTGATAACTGGTGGTCAGCTGAACCCCCAGCTGAACTGAGTCAGCATGGTGCTGGGTGTGGGGGGCCCATCTGGGGACTGCTGCCAGCAGCATAAGAGGCAGAGCTGGAGAAGGAGAAGGAAGCGGTTGGGAGCTGAGAGAGGCTGTTGGAGCTGGTGGAAGCTGTAAGGTGCTGTTGGTTCTCTTGGAGGAGCTCGTCATGCTGCTTTCCTGATGAACTCTGCTGTTTTCATCCTCCGAGGAGCTCGGGACCTCGTTGGCACTGAGAAGGGCTTCGGTTCACTTTGGGGGAGCTCTGGTCCTCACTCTGAGCATCGCTTCCTGGCTCCAGAGGGGAAGATGGTGCACTGCGGGTCTCCCGGAGAAGCCTGCCGCATTGGCTTCCCTGGTGGGAACTCGGCCATCTTGATCATTAGAGGAGCTGGGGACCTCACTGTTGCTGAGGATGGCTGTGGTACCTTTCGGGGGAGCTCTGGTTCTTACTTTCAGTGTCACTTCCTGGCTCCGGTGCAGATCCCTCAGCCTGCTAGCACAGATCCTTCTTCCTGCTGGCACAGACTTCCTAGCTTCCACCACTGACCTTTGGGCCTTCCAGCGTAGATCCGTGAAACAGGCCTGCATGAGACATTGTCATGGGCTCTGGGCCTCCAGTTGGACTTGTGGGAGGCACTGTTATGAGCTCTAGGTCTTCAGCTGGACTCATGCAGGACATTTCCGTGGGATCCAGGCCCTCAGTTAGTTTCCTTGGTCTTGTGTGTGGACAGATTTCCTGCACTCTTTTGTATAGCATTCTTTGGGTGATTATTATAAATATCTTACAAAATGTGTCCTTATTGTATCGTTTCCCTTGTGAAAATAAGCCCCAAACCAACACACTGCCTTAAACAATTTTTTGGGCTGGGGATATAGCTCAGTGGCACGGTGCCTACCTGGCACGCATGAGGTCGTGAGTTCACTTCCCAGTACCAAAAAAAATAAAGACAGTTTGTTGAAGTCCTGGGTGCATGTGCATCGCGGCAGCGAGCTATGAGGCGGCCGGCCCTCGGGGCGACAGCTGCCCTCTAGCTTGCACCCCGGCCATGAGGCGGCGGGCCCTCGGGGCGACAGCTGCCCTCTAGCTTGCACCCCGGCCATGAGGCGGCCGGCCCTCGGGGCGACAGCTGCCCTCTAGCTTGCACCCCGGCCCAAGTGCATGAGGCACTGTGCAGACTCGTCGTGCACTCGGAGCCTCCTCACGAGCAGGGCGCCAGGAAGTCTCTGGGAAGCCTCTGCTCTTTACACTGCAGTGCCCACAAGCTCACTGCTTCTGTCCGGAGAGAGTGCTCTTACCTTCCACAGGGGCTGCCCAGGAGCAGAGGTACCTCCTGCCCAGGCTCCCGAGGCCCCAGACACCAAGGGTCCCTCTGTCTCTCCACAGAGAACACCTTCTGCAGCGGGGACCATGTGTCCTGGCACAGCCCGCTGGATAACAGCGAGTCCAGAATCCAGCACATGCTGCTGACAGAGGACCCACAGCTGCAGCCCGTGCAGACGCCCTTCGGGGTGGTCACCTTCCTCCAGGTGAGGTGCAGGCCAGGCAGGAGAGGGTGAAGGGAGGAGGAGGCCCCTACTGGTCTCCTCCAGCCTCCGGCGGTCTGTCGGGTGAGGCAGCTGGTGTCGGGTAGGGGAAGGGCAGTGGGAGTGGAGGGAACGGCTGTGGCTTTGCGGGGGTAACGGAGGGGATTTCAGACCTAAAGGCCCTGTGGGCACAGGCCTTCCCAGAGCAAGCCAGCTGCAGGCTGGCCTCGCATGTTAGCACTTGCTTTTGCTTATGATGAGGTCTGTGTGAAGACTCACTTGCTTTCTTGTGGAGCTGCCTCCCTGACGCCCCCCTTGCTTCCAGAGACAGAGCCTCAGTCGGCGCAGGCCCTGGTTTTCTTCTCTGCCACTGGGAGCTGGACCTTGTCTTAGCCAGACGCCTAACCCATCATAGTGAGAGCAAGAGTGAGGCCGTGGTGGGTCTGTGGACGCAGTTGTCTCCTTGTTGCCACCCTTCCCTCCTCACAGGGCCCTCCCACTCTGGGCACACCAGTGCAGGAGCACAGAAAAGTGCCTGTGGGTGAATCTGGGGGGCTGACCTTTGGGGCCCGGATTGACCACTAACACAGTGGAATTTTGTGGGCTGCAGATTGTTGGCGTCTGCACGGAGGAGCTGCACTCAGCCCAGCAGTGGAACGGGCAGGGCATCCTGGAGCTGCTTCGGACAGTGCCCGTGTGAGTGCACCCCACGAGCCCGGGGCCGGGCCGCCCTGGGCTGGGTCTGACAGTGCCCGTGTGCGTGCACCCCACGAGCCCGGGGCCGGGCCGCCCTGGGCTGGGGCAGGGGTCCTTCCTGCACTGAGTCTCGGGGAGGCTGGCATCCCTGCTACAGACCCTGACACCATTGTTTCCCCTTTCCTCACTCACAGCGCTGGCGGCCCCTGGCTCATAACTGACATGCGGAGAGGAGAGACCATATTTGAGATCGATCCACACCTGCAAGTATGTCTTGAGGGAGGAGAACTTGCTAGCGCACTGCGCCTAGCTTCTTCCACATAGCACCGGCGCTCACCCGCGAAAGGAGCGGCTGTGTGTAGGCGTGAGGAGAAGCGCAGCTTGACTTGGGATTTGTGCCCTGAGGGCTACAGGGCACAGGAGGGAGCCCGGGTCTCAGCCCTGGAAGGCATGCCTCAGACTCACGTGCTTTTCGACTTTAAAAAGATGAACTTTGCTGTATGTACATTACCTATCAACTGTAAAAGTTAGATAACAGCAGCAAAAGAAAATAAGTGCAGTGGGTGTTGCTTTCTAGCCCAGGATTTATTCCCCTACTTTCCCTTCTTAAAAGAACAGGCTTTGTTGCAGAGAACCACTGTACAGACAGTGGCCCAGTAATACTGCCCCATGGCCTAGCTGCAAGGTGCGTGCTGCTTGGCATAAGGGTCCCATCACCCTCCTGGCACGTGCGTCTTCGGCGCTAGCCTCGAGAGGGTGGCACTCCTTAATGTGTGAGGAGGTGCTCAGACACCTCGGCCGGCACTGCCCCTCGCTGTGGCCCACCTGCAGGGTGTCAGGGTCATCTTTAGTGTTTTAGAGAAAGTACTTCTCTGGCGTGCAGGTGAATTCTGAAAACTCTGAGTGTCACTGCCTGTCCTACGGGCTGCTAGGAACAGGAGCAGCAGGCAGCTGGCTTCTTGTGCCCACCCCCACACAAGTGCAGGTCACTGCCACCTCTGAACCTTCCACGCTCCTTAAAGCTCTGACAAGACACAGACTGCTGCCAGGAGATGCCTGTCCTAGAAGGGGGAGGAGTGATGGACACATAGCCTGCCCTTCCCGGGTTCTTGACTGCAGGCCTGTGAGTTCTTGGGCACGGTCTGTTTCATTCACAGATGGTGCTCCTCCGCTTTTGTAGTGCCTCTAACACTGATATTTTCAGGTTGCTGTCAAGTTCCTCTGTTATCTCTACCTTAACGTTAATGTCTGTGTACCCTCTGCCTAAGCGTGAACCAGGAGCCGTAAAGGCAGTGTTTCCCTAAGCGCCTGCCCTGCAGCCACGATGGGATCCCGCGTGGAGCACTGTGGGCTGCTGCGTGGCCACTGTCACAAGCGCCCAGTACTCAGAAGGAGCCTGGCCCTGGGCTGGTAGCATAGGCTAGCCTTTGTGTGTGTACCGAGAGCAGTTCTCCTCTCACGTCTGAGGCCTCCCTCAGACCAGCCAGCAGGACGTGCAGACCATGGGGGAGTGTGGCACTTTCTCCTGGTGGCCCTAGTGCACCAAATCTGAGCTCCTCCCTGTTTGGGTCTGTCTTTGGGGTCTGCTCGCCATCAGTTCGAGAGCCATCGCGTGCTTCTTTGATTTAAGCTCTACTACTGGGCCGAGCGTGGTGGTGCACACCTGTAATTCCAGCACTCAGGAAACTGGGGCAGGAGGACCACTGCTAGTTTCAGGCCAGCCTGGACTATACAGTGACACCCTGTCTCAAAACAAACAAACAAACAAACAAAATCACTTTAAGCTCTCCTACTAACTGGCTATGTACTCAAACAAGTCCCTAACTTCTCTGTGTCTTAATTCTTTCTTTTTACTTATAAAGTAAGTAGGCTGGACTGGTAAAGCCAAGAAGTATATATCGTCAGTTCTCCACCTAGGGGAGGGCTTCAGGGCAGCCAGTGGAGAGAGAGAACCTCAGGCTCTCCCCTGAGAGACCAGGGCCCGCATGCCCTGCTCAGAACCCCCAGCTTCACCCAGGCTGATGGCAGCACCGCCAGGGAGGAAAGGCTGATAGGAGGAGGAGCTGCCTGTGGCTGGTCCAGAGAAATAAGGACGGTGCCTGGGCTTCTCCAGATGGGCTCTCTGGCCAGTTCAGTGGGAGAGAGGCACGAAGACAGGGAAGTGCAGGCTGTCGCAGGAGACTGATTTGGCCACGTGGCTGTTTACGAGCAAGGTCAGCAGAGCCTTCCAAATGACCTTTAGTTCAAAACCCAGCCTCACAGAACAGTGTTCTGTCAGAAAACGCAGGGGTGTTTTGAGTACGGCTCTTCCTTGAGGCTGTTCAGAGAGGTTTGGACGTCTCAGTGCCGGGGCCTGCACGAAGACAGGGCTTGGGGCTGGGAGGCCTGCAGATGGCCACTGCCCTTCAGGCCCGGTCAGGCCTAAGGAGTGGAAAGCAACTGAATCCAGAGCCTTTGGCAAACCAGTTGGCTGGCAGCGAGGGCAAGGGCAGCCCTGTGCTCTGGGCGAGTACTCCCTCTAGCTGTTAGCAGAGGCAACTGCACCTGGGGCTCTGCCCAACCGGGGCGGCTTCACCCTGCCTCCTGCGGATCAAGAGAGGATGCGAAGGATTGTGCCTTTCCTCGAGAGGGCAGTTCCTATCATCGCCGTGTCAGCTGCATGGGCCCGCGTGGGATAGGCGGGCTGGGGGCTGGGAAGAGGCCAGCTTGGGATGAAGGCCACTGTGCTGGAAAGTTGATGGTAGCGAAGCCTCCCTGGCATTTCATCCTCCTGGCTTTCCCTGATCCTGGTTCTCTGGAGGAGTCCAGTGGCTGGCAGAACCCATCATGCATGTCACCAGAGCGGGACGGACTCAGAGTCCCTGCTCTTGCAGCAGCTGTCCATGCTCGGCACCTGTAAGGGTCCGGTACATGCTAAGGGTGGTAGCTGGAAGGGTGGTGGCAACCTTGGACCACCAGTTCTCTGAAGGAACTCTGGCTGTTTGGTTCTTCTCAAGCAGGACAGAGTTGACAAAGGCATCGAGACCGATGGCTCCAACCTCAGTGGTGTCAGTGCTAAGTGTGCCTGGGATGACCTCAGCCGGCCCCCTGAGGACGATGAGGACAGCCGGAGCATCTGCATTGGCACCCAGCCCCGGCGGCTCTCTGGCAAAGGTAGCAACTGTCCCCTGCGTTCCCTCTTCCTTTACAGGCCCAGCCTGGAGAGCATAACTAACAGCCCTTTCAGTAGTTTAGTTCCTGGCCTGACCTAAGCAGCAGCAGAAGTCTTGAGGCGAGGGGGAATTAAGGAGCTTTTTGCCCCTTTTCTAGCTGTGTTTCCCATGTGTATTTGAAATGCAACACCAACAGGGACCATTGTGTCTTCACTTTGACCTTTTGATCTGAGGCCTCGGAGGTAAGTGGAGACCGTAAACAGTTAACAGGAAAAGTCTGCAGTGTACTCAAGAGCAGGAGAAAAGTGTCGGCCACCCACAGCATTGACACAGGGCCCAGCCCTGGCCTTCAGGCCAGGCCAGACCCTAAGATCCCCGTCCTCAGGCCTTCACAGGGCTTCAGTGAGGGAAGCCTGCGTATGAAGCCAGCTTGCGAATGGCCTCTGCCCACTGTCCTGCAGATGAATATAAGGTGCTGTGCTAGCACCCCAGCACCTCTGTCTTCTGGGTGAGGGTGGAGGGAAAGAGGATATATCTGTCCTGTTAGAAGCACTCGGGCTTGGTCTTGGTATGTGTGGTTTTAGCAAAGGACATCCCTAAATAGCTCCAAAGGACGAACGCACGTTTACATGCACACGTGCTCGCAGCTTGTCTGTGTGCGTCTTTCTCATTTCCCCATCCCTGTTTATTGAAGAACAGGAGCAACAGCTATGTGTGTATTTTTTTTTCTCTTTCTTTTCTTTTCTTTTCTTTCTTTCTTTCTTTCTTTCTTTCTTTCTTTCTTTCTTTCTTTTTCTTTCCTTCCTTCCTTCCTTCCTTCCTTGTATTGGGAATGGAGCCCAGGGCCTTGTGTATGCTTAACATGCATTCTACTACTGGCTGCACCTTTAGGTGTGGGATTCATAAAAGAATTTCTCTTTTTGAAAAAATGACAATTTAAACCTCTAGTACAAATATTTAACCCATTCGTTTCCATTTTTTTCTTTTTTTCTTTTTTTTTTTTTTTTTTTTTTTTTTTTTTGAGACAAGGTTTTGCTGTGCACTTCAAGCTGGCCTTGAACTCAATTTGTAGCCAAGGCTGGCCTCCAACTCACAGCGATCCTCCTGCCTCAGCCTTCCCAGTGCTGGTATTACAGGGGTGCACCACCATGCCCAGCTTACGCATTTGTTTCTTTCCTGCTGTTTTGTTTTCGTTTCCTTTTTTTTTTGAGATAGGGTTTTGCTTTGTAGTTCAGGCTAGCCTTGAGCTCACTATGTAGCCTAGGCTGGCCTTAAACCTGCTACAGTCTTCCTACCTTGGCCTCCCAAGTGCTGGGAATTCAGAAGTGCTTCACCGTGCCAGGCTCATGCTTTTTCTGACAGTGTAACAAGCTTGTAGGATATCGGGAGAAAGCATACAGTGATTACAGTCATATATTTATTAAGATCACCTACCATGAAGCTCCAAGGACTTGTCTAGCCTATGTGAGGTCCTGATTTGATTCCAGCACTGCCCCACCTAAAAAAGAATCATTTGATTACTTTTGATAAAAGAGGCAATTTAAGAAGTGATTCACAATTTTAATCATTATTGGCTATTTTAAAAAATTACACCTGGGCATGCTGGAACATACCTATAATCCCACCAGTGCTTTGAAAGGCTGAAGCAGGAAGATTACAGACCTGAGTCCTGCCTGGGCTATAGAATGTCGCAGTAAGACACTGTCTCAAAACGTTAAAAAGGGGGTGGGCTGTAACTCAGTGCTAAGGTCCTAGGTTCAATCCCCAGTACCAAGGAAAATCTTTTTAAATTAAAAATGAAAGTCCGCTGTGCGTGGTGGCACAGGCCTCGAATCCCAGCACCAAGGGGGCTTCGGGCTCCAGCCCAGCCTGGACCACACAGTGCGCTCAAGGCCAGCCTGAAGTGCATACGAGACCCTGTCTCAAAAACAAAAAACAAACTAAATAAATAAATAATAAAAATTGTAATAGTAGCCCGTGCCCTGGTAAGGAGTTAGAAAAGTTAGCAATCCTCTCTTCCCACTCTGAGCCCACCTGTGAATGACTAGTGCTCATTTCCTTTTCCATATGTGTTTACAGTGTGCAGAGATAAATCTCAGATCAAATTCTTCATATAGTGAAAGACCCCCAGAACACCTCACAGAGAGTAACCGCCCGGGGGCGGCTGCCTCACCTCACAGTCCTTGCCGTCTCCTTGGAGTTGCCGTTCCTGGCAGACAGTGAGGTGGAGAGGCGACCTCAGGTAGCCCACTGACCAGGCTCAGGGAGGGCAGCAGGGCCAGACTGTAGTTGTCTCCCAGAGCCCACTCGGGGCAGGGCACTTGAAGGCCCTGCAGTAGCCATTGCAGTGGGCAGTGTCCCTGGTGGTCGGCCAGTGGCAGAGGCCGTGGTAGACGTTCAGTGTCTGGGACCAAGGCCCGAGTGTCGGGAGGAACAGGACGAGGGCGAGGGCCTTTCTGAGGTCCAAGGGCCACCCCTCATTCCTCTCAGACTGGTGCTCCTCAGACCCCCCCACTGCTTCTCGAGCGCACGGTGTCGCGTCCTGTCTCTCACAGCTGCGCTCAAGCAGCTGTCCCGTCTGGACACCTGGACCAGCCAGCATGGTGGCCTTTCTCCAGAAATCTGCTCAGTTAGGTTCAAGAAAGGTTGGGGGTGGCTGGGAACCCAAAGGGCCATCAGGCAACTTAGTGATGTCATTGTAGACACAGAGCAGATCCGGGAGACCCTGAGGAGAGGACTTGAGATCAACAGCAAACCTGTTCTTCCGCCAATCAACCCTCAGCGGCAGAACGGCCTCACCCATGACCGGACTCCGTAAGTCCCTGCGTCTCAGGGCTGCGATGAGAGGGTGGTTTCGTCCTGAGTGACTGCTCCCATGGGCTGCATGGGAAACAATGCCTGTGGCCCTTTTCGCGGGAACCAAGGTCTCCTCTAGGTTTAAGGCAGGCATGGTTGGGAGCTCACAGGTCTGTGGGTCGTAGGAAAGGGCCTCAAAGGGGACCCAGTGGAGCAGGAACATAAACAGCAGTAAATATTTACATGGGCTGTGTGAGCAGACAGGAGGCCAGCTTGGGGCAGAATCTGACTTGGGGCCTCCCGGCCTTGTGGGACCCATTGTGCTGAGCACGGTTCCCTTCTTATCTTGGCCTCGGCCAGAGTTGCCCTTCCTTCCTTCCTGGAGCCTGGTCTCCGGCTGATAGCCGCAACCCCAGGGACCTCCCTGTCTGGCCACCCCCATACTGGACGCCTGCTTCTGAGGCCCTTCTTCCTGCCTGCCTTCCCTGGGCCAGGGCAGGGAAGAAAAGTCCTCTGCAGGCCTCTGCTGCCTGCCAGGGCTCCTTCTAGCCCTCAAAAGAGACTGAGGCCACTCCAGAGGTCAGAGCTCTTCCTGGCAGCCTCTCTTCCTCTGTTAGGAAGCAAGCGGTGGGCAGGGCTGGAGCGGGGCACCCCCTCTGCCCTCAGTCCCAGGGCAGCTCTGGGGAGTAGCTGCTGGCAAGGGATGCCTGGGAGCTCAGAGCAGGAGCCTCGCCTGCCAGGAAGGAAATCGCTGTGCCTTGGGCTGAAAGGAGGGTCAGCCAACCCTGCAAGGCCAGGGCGACCCACCCACTTTCTGAGCAGTCTTTACTGCTCTCCTGCTGTGTGGCTGGAGGCCCAGGGGCTGTTTGGGATGCACGGGCTTGTCCTTTCAGGTTCACCACCGGGACAGGGAACTTTCCTGGCAGAAGCCGCAGGTGATGTGGCTGCTACTCGTAGTCCAGCTCCAGGTGCTGATCCCTGGTCCCCAGCAGTGACAGGGATGTAATGCAGCACAGGAAAGATGGCGCGATCCTGAGTAGTTGAGAAGGGAGTCTGCGAGGAGGAGGACCGTGAGCTGTGTCCTGGAAGTGAGGCAGGCAGGGGAAGCCGCTGTGGGGGCTGGAGCAGCGAGGCCCGGCTGCTAAGGTGGAGGCTGCAACCCGAGAGCAGACGGAGGGCGGGGAGAGTCACACCACGTGGCTCACCTGGCTCGCCTGCTGTCCAGAAGCCAGGAAGGTTGACTCTTCGGCAGAGCCTGGAGAGGCCTCCTCAGCCACTGCCATTGCCCCAGAGTGGCTTCCAGCTGTGGCCAGTGGGCCCTTCCAGCCTGCAGCCCTGAAGTAGCTGGCTTGAGGCACCAGGGTTGTTTCCTAGAAGCAGCAGATGGCCAAACTGGGTCATGGGACACTAGGAATCTCTCCTTCTGAAGTTTGGACTGTGTCCCAGGGACCCCTTCCTCCTGGCTTCTCACTCAGCTTCCTTGGCACTAGTAGGACGCCAGAAGTAATAGTGGGCTTAGCCGGGTGTGGTGGCTCATGCCTGTAATCCCAGCACTCGGGAGGCTGAGGCAGGAGGATCATTGTGAGTTCCAGGCCAGCCTGGGCTACAAAGTGAGCTCAAGGCCAGCCTGAATTGCATAGCAAGACCCTGTTTCAAAAAGACAAAAAAACAAACAAACAAACAAACAAACTAGTAGGCTTGAAGTCTCGAGATGATCGTCTGCAATGTGGAGATAGCTACAGTCCAGATGGTCTTCTGCCTCCTGAAGGCCAGCGTGTCTGGGCAGAGCCCACTCGCCTCTCCTGTATGTCAGGGCCAGGCCTGAGATCGATTGATTGATCCCTCTCTCTCTCTCTGCCTGACTTGGGCATACTTCAGCTGTTGCATACACAGACCCCCGTGTGTGGGCACAGGCTCCTTGTTCCCGTGGACACCTCACGACAGGGCAGCGGGGCGGTGGTTCTGTACACAATGCACACAGACTGCAGCCTACAGCCTTTGGCCTCAGTTGTCTTGAGATGTGCCAGGTGTGGTGGCTCATCCCTGTAATCCTAGCACTCTGGAAGGCTGAGGCAGGAAGATCGAAAGTTTAAACTTAGTTTGAGCAACTTACCGAGACCCTACCTCAAGATTAAAAAATAAAAACCGGGCTGGGTATGCGGAGGGGCGGGCAAAGGTGGGAATAGATCAGAGAGGACAGTCCTCTGGGGTCATCTCCTGCCCTGCAGGTCCGCAGAGTTCGGGCATCTGCCAGCTGGAGGGAATCAGACCATTTCCTCCGGGTTCTTGTGCCCATTACTGATTTGTTAGTGCCCGGTGTGCAGTGGCTCCTTGCCCTCCTTCACCAGCTCCGTTCTCCAGCACGCCCTCCGTTTTCCCAGACGCCAGCTCCCTGTGGTCCAGGGTGGGTGCTGACAGACTCGGTTCAGATTCGCAAGCACAGTGGTAATGTCCGTGCGGCCACTCAGGGGCTGACCCGGTTTCCGACACCACATGAATCGTGGCTGCGAAAGCCAGCCCGAAGTGTGCTGGCAGCAGTGTTTGCTCCGCTCCCTAGCAGGAAGTGGCCCTCATAGGCCTTATTTTGTCTGCTTTCCCCTGAGGATTCCTGGGCCAGGGAGTTACGATGCCTGGGTCTTCTCTGGTCTGTGTATGGTCTGAGGCGGCTACTGAGATGATCAGCCCTGGCTCCCAGCAGCCAGGCTCTGGCCTACTCGGGGGAGTCGGGCACATACTCTTCCCTCCTCCACAGCACTCAGCATTTCCACAGAGCTGTCCTGTGCCAGGTAATGTTTAGGAACCTTATCCTCACATTAATTCATTCTCAGGCCACTAGATGTAATCTCTTTCCCTCCCCCTCTCCCTCTCCTTGTCCCTCTCCGTGTGTGTGTGTGTGTGTGTGTGTGTGTGTGTGTATGTGTATGTGAGAGAGAGAGAAAGACACACACACACACACACACACACACACACACCTACCACCACCACCCCCCCCCCCCACCCCGGGCCTTCACGATGAGCCACCTCCCCAGCCCACTTTTACTTCTGAGCCAGGGTCTCACTATGTAGCCTAGACTGCCCTCTAACTTGCAGTCCTCCTGCCTCAGCCTCCCACAGTGCTGAGGTTACAGGCAGGCACCACCACGCCCAGCTCATATATCTTACAGCTGAGAAGATTGAGATGTGGGAAAGCTAATAAGTGACTTGTCCAAAGCTTAGGACATTCTGTCACCCACTGAAGCAGGTCTGCTCTCCCTTGCCTGCACTCAGGGACGTCATGATGCACGGGCTGTGTCTCTGCGATGTAGTGACCCTCACTGCTGGAGCCCAGGTAACTACTGGAGCGTGCTGATGCCATGAAAGCTCAGTGACACCGCAGTTATTTTGTGTGCTAGGCCCTTTTCCTTTCTGTTCAGAAACAAACACAAACCTGTCGCTGGCCTCCCCCCTCGGTGCAAGGGAGTTTTTTTCTGGAGGCTCTGCTTCCCGCTTCCCAGAAGGCAGGCCTTTGGTAACCTGCTTTCTCCTGCTCGGTGCCAGCCCTCCTCCCATTGCCTTCCCAGGAGAGCCCTTGGCCCTCTTTGGGGCTTCAGCATTTCACAACCCTGCATTCCGGCCATGCAATTTGTATCTGGCTTTTCCCAAGATGATCAGTTGAGAAAAGCCTTCTTCAGCTTGCTGGCGCCTCCCTTCCCACTGCCTGCCTGGGTGAGTTTGGGAACGCGTAAGAAGGAAAGGAAGCAACCCCATTCTGCCACTTAAGGACAGTCTGGCCTGAAGACTGTGCCGGCCAGCATTTGCAGGGGCCCGGGGTGGGAGTCTCTGGACAGCATCTGTCTGAGGAGCATGCTCAGCCAGAGTGTCAGTCTGCTTTAGGTCGCGGCTGCTCAACACTGACGGGAGGAGGGGTCAGGTGCATGCATGGGAGGTCTGCGTTTCCATGAGGCGTAGCTCAGAGCCGGGGACCTGTGTCAGAATTCTAGAACCTCCTCTTCTGGAGGCCAGTGCCTCACTGACTGGGCGGGGCCTCAGGGGGCTCTCAGGGTGGTGCCTTCTCTTGGCAGGGAGCCTTGTGTGCGCATGCGTGTAAGCACGGAGAAGCGCTTTGTAGTTAAGAGGCACTTCTGAAAAGCAAACTCTCCATCATTGCTGAGCCAGTTTTCTGTGTTTTGAAATTATACCAACAACTTTTAAAGTTATTTCTTCTTTCTTTTTTCCTTTTCGATTTTTCCCTCTTAATTCCCTGGAAAATCAAGCGCTGTTTGGTTTGGTTTGGTTTGGGTTTTTTTTTCTTTGTTCTGTTTTCTGAGACGTGGTCTCACTGTATAGTTCAGGCTCACTGTGTTGTCCAGGCTGGCTCGAACTCATGGCGACTCCTGCCGCAGGTCTCCCCGGTGCTGGGGTTACTGCCATGTGCCTGTGTGCCTGGCCAGAAAGTCAGGTTTGCATACCATAAATTCTCCTCGTAGCATCCTCATCTGTAACACCTCCCCAGCACACGTGTCGATGCGGGCATGGTCATACATACATGTATGTGTTTCTCTACCTTTGTGAGCGTCTCTGCTCTCTTCTGTTTGACCTTTGGGTTGGGTGACTGTGCTGCCTTTAACTCCCGTCTTGAATAGTTTGTAACCTGGCCAAGGAGTCGTCCAGTAGAGAGAACTCTGTTTTGTTTTGCTCAGCCTATGAGGTCCACGAAGATTATTAGGAGGAGAGCTTACCTGGTTTGCACCCACTCTAACGGTGAACTTGGTACGGGAGGTAAGTTTCCATCTGGGAAGACCGCCCGGCTGCTGTGATGCTGCTGGCATACAAGGCGGAGTCGGGTGACCCTGATGTCAGGGCCTCATGTCAGGGCAGCGGCCAGCCTGGAGCCTGCTCTGTCATCCTGGCTTCCCTCGCCACTCCCACGCCGGGAAAGTGCAGTTGTTTGCACTGGAAAGAAAGCCCAGAGAGCAAGAGCCCTGCTCCCAGGGCCCCCGCCAGGCGCATAGGACTGACGGGAAGGGGAGCCCAAGCTT